ATATTTTCCTATAAATCAAACCAAATTGTGTTTTAATCACAAAGAAAAGATTTTGCTGCAATATATGGAACAAAATTCCAAATCCATTTTTTAAAATCTTTACGTACAGAAGAAATGGGGTAAAACAGATTGTGAAGTTGGACACAGTAAGGACTGCAGAAGCTGGAAGCCAGAATCAATAGATGTGAAGCTGGAAAACCACAGCAGGTCAGACAGCATCCGAGAAACAGGCAATTCAATGTTTCAGGCTGAAACTCTTTGTCAGGACTGGGGAAGGGAAGGGGACCCAGACCTCTGCCTGCTCTTTGTAGGATTTGTGGAACAATTTCCCTTCCACAACTACATGGGAACCATCCTTCACCTCTTTCTCTGCTATATTGATGACTGCATCGGTGTTGTCTTGTGCTCCAGTGAAGAGCTCAAGCATTTCATCAACTTCGTCAACGCCTTCCACCCTGCCCTCAATTTCACCTGGACCATTTCTGACACCTCCATCCCCTTCCCGGACATCTCATACTCCATCTCCGGAAATCAACTTACCACTGACATCCATTTCAAACCAACTGACTCCCACAGCTAAGTCAACTACACCTCTTCTCACCCACTCTCTTGCAAAAACGCTAACCCATACTCTCAGTTCCTCCACCTCCGCTGCATCTGTTCCCAGGATGATGCATTCTACTCCAGAACATCCCAGATATCCTCCTACTTTAGGGACCCTAGTTTCCACTCCTCTGAAATTATGGATGCTCTCAACTGCATCTCCTCCATTTCCTGCACTTCTGCCCTCAAACCACCCCCCCAACAACAATAAGGATAGAGCCCCCTTAGTCTTCACGTACCACCCCACCAACCTCCAAATCCAATGCATCATCCTCCGACATTTCCGCTGCCTACAATCAGACCCCATCACCAAAAAGATATTTCCTTCCCCATCCCATCCATTGTCCGCAGGGACTGTTCATTCCAGGATTCCCTCATCAGCTCTACACTCCCTGCCAACTTCTCCACCACACCCAGTACCTTTCCCAGCAACCACAAGAGGTGCAACACCTGCCCCTACACCTTCCCTCTCACCTTCGTCCAAGGCCCCAAACAATCCTTCCAGATCCAGCAGAGACTCATCTGTGCTTCATCCAACCTGATCTGTTGTATCCGTTGCTCCCGATGTGGTCTCTTCTATACAGGGGAGAACTAACACAGATTCGGAGACTGGGGGTTTGTGGATCATCTGTGCTCTGCACGCATCAACCAACCTGACCTTCTGGTTGCCATCCATTTTAATTCCCCCTCCCATTCACCTGGCGGCATGCCCATCCTTAGCGTCCTCCACTGTCAGAGTGAGGCCAAACATAAACTGGAGGAACAACACCTGATATTTTGCCTTGGGAACTTAGAGCCCAATGGCCTCAATATTGACTTCACCAGCTTCAACATCCCTCCACCACCAGCCTTATCCCATATCCACCATATCCAGCCCTCCTCCTCCTCCTTGCCTCCTGACCTGACCTAACCTGTCCATCTTCCTTCTCAACTATCCACTCCACCCTTTCCACTGACCAATCACAATAACCCCGACCTGCATCCACCTATCTCCATCCCACCTACCCTTCTATTTACTTCTAGGCTCCCTGACCGCTCCCCAGTCCTGATGAAGGGTTTTGGCCCGAAACGTTGACTTTCCTGCCTCTCGGATGCTGTTCTGACCTGCTGTGCTTTTCCAACTTCACATCTATTGACTGTGAAGTTGGACAATCATTCTCAGCGATTCATGCCCATTTCACACAGTGTTATGGTATGGACCTTATGGTGATGGATTTTGTCCAGAACAACAGAAAGCTTTTATAAAAGTTGAAAGAAGGGAAGTGACAGTTAGATGTGCAGCTTGTCCTCTATAAGCACCATCCAGGTAACCAGGTCCAATGCCTATAGAAATTTATAACATAACACTGTTATAATCCAAAAGGTAATTGTATTTCAACAGAATTCAAGTCTACACTTCTTTCTGAGAACTTTATTTCATTTAGCTACACCTTACTGATAACTTTCTTTTAATATTTTCTTATCAACCTTGTGGGAGATGTTATTACACACTTTTGAGCTGGTGGGACTTAAACCTTGGTCTCCTAGCTCAGCAGTAGGGACACTACCACAGGGCAACAATAACTATTACGCCACTAATTACTAGCTCTCCATATTCATATCACCAATTCGAACCCAATGAACTCTAATTACTAAATTTATCACCTGTTCCATCATTCCATTTGGTGTCAGGCATTCCTTCAGAACATATTAGTTATTTTAATCAGTCTCTTCAAACACATTATGATATACCTCATGGGCTGGTGGAACTTGAACTAACCCTCTGGTCTACAGATAAGGACACTAACACAAGACCCATTTTCAGACCATATTGAAGATAACAAACAACACTTCCCCTTGATAGCCAACACATGAGTAGCCAAGTACAAGGCTGTTCACCATTTGCCTGTGGAATCAAGGATCCATCTTGTGTTTCCTTTCCCGTCATTTTTGTTCAATTCCCCTGCAAAGGGTTGAGAAGCCCTTTTTCATTCACTCCCACTACGTCAAATTACACTATCATGGATGTTCAGTTCCCAGCATATTATACAAGTTTGGACTTGGCCCCGTGACTAATTAGTTTCATCTATGAAAATAAATTTGATTCACAATTTTGCATTCTATTAGAATTAATGCTGGGTCTTAGCCAATCTCGTTATTTGAAAAGTTTGCAGGTGATACAAAAATGCACTATGTGGTTGAGAATGAGAATTATCAGAAAATTATTGATTAATAAGAAAGTTGTAGAGTTCAGAAAACAGCCAGTCAGCTGCTCATGTGGGCAGAAATGTGACAAATAGAGTACAATCCAAAAAAGTGTGAGGTAATGCCTTTGGGAGGGGGAAAAATGGAAAGGGAATAAAGAATAAATGGTAAGATAGAGATCAGAAGGACCTTGGGAGTCCATGTCCACACATTCCTGAAGGCAACACGACAAGCTGATAGGATGGTTAAGAATGCATCCTTTTCTCCACTAGCTGAAGCATGGCATACAAGACCAGGGAGATTATGCTAGAACTGAATAATACACTATTTAGGCCACAGTGACAGTTCTGGTCCTTTACTGCAAGGGAGGATGAACAAATCAGAGACAGAGGAGATTTATGAGGATGATTGCTTTAACTTTGAGGACAACTTGAATGGGCTAAGATTTTTCCTTTGAAACAGAGGTGCCTGAGGGGAGAATTAATTGTGGTGTCTAAAATTATGAGGAACCAAATGAAGGATAGAAAGGACTTATTTCCCTTTGCAGATAAGTAACTAACCAAGAAATCAGAATTAATTTTTTTTTAAATGTACTTTTTCAGGAGATATGACATCTTGGCAAGGCCTGAATTTTTGCTGATCCCAATTTTCCTTGAACTGATTATTTTGCAAGGTCATATGAGAGGTCATTTTAAGAGTCAACTGGATTATTGTGGGTCTAGAGTCACATGTAGATCAGACCAGGCAAGAACAGCAGATTTCCTTCCCTAAAGGACATTATGAACCAAATGCATTTTTATGACAAACAATGATAATTTCATCGTCACCATTAGTGATACAAGCTTTGCATTCCAGATGTTTTTAATTTTAAAAAATCCACTTACTACCGTAGTAGGATTTAATCACGTCTTCAGAGCATTAGCTTGAGCCTCTGGAGGCTAGTCTTGTGATAACGCCCCTGCGCCACCATCTTCCCATAAGGTGATTAGAGGGAAAATGAGTTTTTTTTAATCACAGAGAGGGTGATAGCAGTCTGGAACTCACTGAGATGCTAGTAAAGACAGAAACCCACACTGGAATGAGCAAACACTTGGGTGTGCTCTGGAAGTGCCATAAACTGCAAGGCCACAGGCCATGCATTAGAAGTGGATCAGTACAAACATGATAGTTTGAAAGGACCTCTGTGCCCTGAATTTTAACAATTCTATGAACTGTGGCTTCCACAAACAGATGATTGTCAGTTTCATATTGTTTGGCAGAAAAATAAAATACTGTTAATACAGCCTGTAAACATAGTGGGTAGGCTTTCCTCAAAGTTGCCTGGGTGTAAATATAGCATGAGCAGAGAGAAAGACTTGTCAAGAAAGATGGCATTCCTAAAAGAAAGCATGCTTCATCCTGCATGTCCTTATTTCTCTTGTCTCTTTACACAATACTTACCTTAAGCCAGGACAGTACAGATGAAGATCTACTCCATTCCACTCATTAATGGACTTGGGAGCAGGAGTAGACCATTCAGATATGGAGCCTGCTCTGCCTTTCAACTAGAGGTATTTTATTCAACCTGTTCAGACATGTTATAGCACACTGTGAAGCAGGTGGGACTTGAACTGGACCTTCTGGCCCAGAGGCACCACAAGAGCACTAAAACCGAAAGAATGAACCACACCGATTGAGACTGAAATCTGAATCCAGTTCCTTGGACCGCTCAGCGACACAGCTATTGTAGATTTTAAATCCATCTCCCTCACTAGGCCACAACAACAAGGCCTGCCATCCAATTAGATCATGACTGATTTGTGCCTCTGCTCTAATTGACTGGCTGTATATTCTTTACATGACAAAAAAATCCTCAGTATCAGTTTTGAGGGAGGTCCAGTCATCCTGACATCTATAGCTTTGTTGAGGAGAGAACTCGAAATTTCTGCTCCACCTTGTGTGAACAAAAACCTTTCAGTTTCCCTACTAAGTGATCTAACTTTAAAAATGTATCTCTTCCTTCTTCATTTGTTTGTCAGAAAAAAATAGTTTCTTTATATGTATCCTACTAAATCATTTTAACATTTTAAACACCTTGCATAGGTCATCCCTCAAACATCTATATTCAAAGCCATGTTTGGACAGAAGATCACATGGTTTGGCCTCTTTGCCCAAAGTGACCAGCCTCGTCTGGTTATTCATTTGTAACTGTATTTTCTTTCAAAATCCTTCAGAAAATCAAACAGAAGAGAAGAATGTTCGAAAATTAATCCAAGAGAAACCAGTGGGCACAACGGAATACAGAGTAGGTATTCTCCAATTCTAATACTTACTTTGCCTGTCTTTATTGTGAACATTACAGATGGAGATACTGTATATGGTTCTTTTTACAGGCAGGAGTGGAGGACACACTGTGTAGCATAGCCCTGAAGTTCAACAGTACACCAAATCAACTGGTTAAATTAAACAAGTTGTATTCACAAAGTATTGTTCCAGGGCAGGTATGTGAATAGTTACTGACAAGAAGAACCGCATATCTAGGAAATCCCAAAAAAGATCAGGAACTCTTCAGCACACAGTGGTTTAGAGTGTTGTTGTCTTTTTCTTGAATTCTCTGCCTAAAGGCAGGTCTGACTCTCGTTACTATGACCTTAACCATGGATTATGCACAGAAGGCAGATACCAAATCTACCTCAGCCAGAATGGGGTAATTGAACCTCACGCTAATGGCATTAATCTGATTCAGACCAGCCATCCTGCCAACTGAGCAAACTAACTCCCCTAGGAGACTGAGTTGCTGGCAACATACATTTTTTGTGCATGTTGTAGCTTGCATCTGTGGATAGCAAAGATAGAGTTTCCAGTTTCTTTCCATTGCATGGCTTTCTTGCTCATACTGCATCCTGTAAAGATAGAGTTTCCAATTTCTTTCCATTGCATGGCTTTCTTGCTCATACTGCGTCCTGTTAGCATGTTGGAAAGATTAGTAATCTGATACTTGTTGGCCACATTGCAAACATACTTTCCTTGACCATCAATGCTGGAGTAGAAGCTTTTGTTTCAGAGGCAGTGAGCTAGCCATGGTGCCACAAGACCACTTAAACAATGTCTAACAGAAAAAAAATGTTTGTTTCCGGTTGAACATTAAGGAATCTGTTTACAGTACTCTAACGTGAGTGTGTAACAGGGGAGAAACCATTTCTCTGATATTTTTCATACCTATTTAACCTTTTACTGTTCAGGCACATTTTTCCAATCCTAACCCCAAAAATGTGATGAACAAATGGTGTTGAATTAAAGTTTGAATTTTAACAGTTTAAAATCCAAATTCTGATGTATTAAGGTGCATACAATCACACCCATACACCCCCACTGTTATTAATTGTAGCCATGGTTACCTACATAGGTCATGGAATACAGTAGTGGATTTAACAACTGAACCAGAGATCAGGGGCTGAATTTTCAAAGGGAATGGGTCCTGAAAACTATAAGACTGAGCATTGATAAGGTTTCTCCACCGTTCCAAATGTCACCTGGATTTGAGGCTGGCAAGGTCAGCTGCTCTCACAAAATGGGCAAGCAGTTAGCCTGATTAAGAGCCTTGTTAACCAGGGATTAAGGATGTGGGATTTTCTAGTCACCTCCATTTTCTCAACATAGTGTGTCAACATAGTTAACCAGAGGTGTGCACCCAACAGCAAAGTAGGGTGCCACTGCTCTAGGTATGCTTACAGGATTTCCTTACTTGCCTTGGGGAGACACAGCTAAAAGCCTGGCTGATGTTTTGTACATTTTTAATTGAAGTTTTTAAAAAGGAACTGAAAAGACACTTCTTTTGAATCAACCTCTCACTTATTTTTTATTAAGTCAGGTGCTCTGGATGAAGCCTCTGAATGGTCTTCCAGCTTAGAGAACACAAATCTTGCCCACTGCAGCTAGCTGTGAGCTTACTTGAGCTGTTGTCATTTAGGGCTATGATACTGATCCCTGCCTAAAATATATGGAGGATTGCTCAGAAACAAAATCTAACCTGGTCGATTTCTTCCCAATCACTTAGGATGTTAGGAAGAGTGATGTATGAGACCCACTCACCAAGAAGCTGTTCACTAGAACTCAGTTCAGTTTCCATCAGAGTCACTTGTTTCCTCACCAAGGCCATGATCCAGACTTGAGCCCTGAGTGTACTTCCCAATAACTTGAAGTAGTAATTCTCAAACAGTGTAGAGTGTCCACCTACATCATTTCCAGTTCCCTCAGAAAATAATTTTATGCACAGAACTCTAACAATGAATGTAATCTGAAATGAGAATTTTTCCTGCAGCAGCTGTATGTTCCTGATCCAGAAGTGAGTGAAGAAAGCCCCATATCCTCAAGTCCCAGGCAGTCACAGACTCTTTCTTCATCAGATATAGAGTATGACAAACCTTTGGTAAGTTTTACCCAGCAAATAGAAAAGTACACCATTGCAATATCCAGTTAAATTCCTCTCATAGTTAGGCTTTAGCTAATCCCTTTTTAAAAAGTGGCTTTGTGCTTCTCAGGAATATTTTTGTCAAATTGGAAAAGCATCTTGTAACATCTCAAAAAGAGCAGGAGAAAAAGCAGTATAACTTTAAGAATCTTTGTGGGGAAGAGCTGAAATGGTGAAAACATGAACCTGGTAGCTGTTTAGAAAGGACTGGATAAATTTATATCTGTGAAATGTACATAGGAAGCTATTAGTTGGAGAATCATGATAAAGAAACTGTTGGGAGGTTCGAAAGGAACTAATAATTTCCTACCCAAAATATTAATATATTAGCTAAAAAAGGACTGGTTAAAAGGCTGTGATAAGTGCATGAATACAATGATGCTATATCAGAGATGCTTCTAAATTTAGATTCTGATAGCCTGGGATTTCTATGAAGCAATAGCTAAATGAGGACTACTTAGTATTAACTTGGATAAAATTTTACCCTTATTGAAGTAGGTTATTCCACTCTTGAGGATGAGGAAAAACTGGCAGAATTGCATCTATCCAACAGAAATTGGTAATTGTTCCAGCACATCCACAGACTATTTGGCATAAATCTTTCACTCCTACTTGGAGAAACTATTTATGGAAATTACAGGAATACAGAAAGGAAACAAGAAATAAAATGCGAGAAATAAGATAAACGATGGCCTGGCAATAAGTAGACCTGTGCACAATCCACTATTTATTGCCTTGGTTATGTTTTGGCCTTAGCCCTTCCACTAGTTCTTTTAATAAAACGTAATGTTGTAGCAAACCAGTCTGTAAATAGAATGAAAGCAAGACCTATACATCCATGTGCCATTATGGTGGGCGTTTGTACTTCGTATCAAGGAAAATAAAGATTTGCCTTTTTTATAGCCTTTTTTAGCTTGTCATGTCCAAAAATGCTTAACAACCAATGAAGGAAACACAACAAGCAAGTTCCTATAAACAGCAACATGAGAATGACCAGATAATGTTTTTAGAGAATGTTGTTTGTAAGGTAATGTCAAAATCACATGACACCAGGTTATAGTCCAACAGGTTTATTTGAAAACACTAACTTTTGGAGCGTTGTTCCTTCATCAGATGTAGTTGGTCAATAAACCAGCGAGAACTCTCCTGCCTTTTTAAGAATAGATGCCATGAGATCCAGCATCCACAGGACATTTGAGGTCAAAGTTAATTTCTAATCTGAAAAAAGGGTGAATAGATAGAAGGAGTAGTTTCTCAGATCATCTGCTGTTTAGTCTTAAATTCACAGGTGGGATAATTTGCCTTCAAATTATTTATGTAAAGACACAATGAAGAAATAAGGTGACATGAGGAAAATGTTCTTTCACAGTGAGGTTTAAGACCTAGGTGAACTTCTTGAGAATATGATGGAGGCAGATATAATTGAGACTTTCAGAAGGGAACTGGGATTCATACCTGAAGAGGGACAACTGCACAGTTGAGAGGAAAGGGCAGAGGAGTGAGACTAACGGAGGTCCTTTTACAGGGATCTGGAATGGACACAAGAGGCTAAGTGACCTCAGAGATCCTTCTGTGCAGTAGCTATTTCATGACTGCTATTCTTTTAAATGTACATGTTCATAGCCTAAAGTGGTTGTCACCTGCGCCTCAAAAGTGATTTATCTGCAACCACACAATGTTTGGCTCAGAATTTCACTCCAGATTGTGACATAAAAACAAATAGAGGCCAGAGCATATGCGTTTTGTTTCCTTCTCAACAATAGCTTTACATAAATATTTAAGATCATGATGTATCAAATAATAAGAAAATAAATTGTTGGTATAAAAGAATGATTTCCAAAATTATATTTTGCAGAATAATAAGGTAACTAGTGTACTGTGTTCATAACAATCATTCTGTAATTTCCAGGATGCTGTTTCAGCAGAAATGTCCAGTCTACAGTGGTACAGTTCCCAACACTCCATACCCAGTTGCTTGTCTCCCATGTGGGACGAAGTACCCTTTTCTGAAAGATTCCTGAAAATCTGTTGCAGATATTTTACAGATGGAAAGGTAAAATACTTTATTTGTAACAGCGGACTTCAAGTTAAATGCCTCAAACTCTGTAACATTCTCAAAGCTACTTGTACTTCTTCTTACTAACTAAGAGCCAGAATACTTGGGTTCCTTGTACAGACCGAACCTTGTCTGGCTAAATAACCGGGAAATTGCATTGAAGTAATTGAGCAGATGAGTATATACAAGAACTCCTGTTAATGTGTTAGGCAACTGATTTATTTTCACTATGCATGTACCTGCATAACTGTGACTTTAACCATATTGTGATCACATGTAACTATAGGCACATTACAAAGCAGGGCAGAAGGACCTTTATTCTGCATCGACTCATACTTCTTTGTTGGAAGTCCTTGATGCAGAAAGTGGGCTCAAAAAATGGAACATTGATCATTCCACTAAATTGAGACCCCTGAGATGAATGGGCACAAATAACATACAAATGTTGTTCATTATGAAATTCAACAATGTGACAGTATGACTTAAACAAAATACGTGTTTATGCGTAGATAACACAGTGTGGAGCTGGAGGAACACAGCAGACCAGGC